TATCAATGGATTTGTTATTTTGTCAATTTGTATAATGAATATATCTTTATGATAATAACTATTGTAAGTTTTTTTTTGAATTTAAATTATTTTTTTTTTTAATATTATTTAATTTTATATCTTTTTTTAAACTTCTATTTCTTTTTTACAATCTGTTTTAAAAGTGAGTACTTAATTATTAATTTAATATTATTTTTTTTTATTAATTCATTTATTTTTTAATTTATAGTTTATTATTACAACAATTTATATATATATAGTAGTTAATTTAATAGCTTTTTAGCTTGATAGTTTAGATTATATTTAAATGGTATATCATGTTGTATTTCAAGTTATTTGTAGAGATTTTTTAAAAATAAAATATTTTGAATCATTTTAAATAGAAGCAAATTCAGATTCATATGATAGTAGTTCAGATGAAAAAATTTCTGTACGTTTAGATAAACTTGAAAAAAAAATAGCTACATTATCTGGTATTAATCAGAAAAAAATTATTGAAAAATCTAAAAAAATATTTAAAATTATCAATGAACAACTTATTCAAAATAAACAAAAAATTGATTTTTTACGAGAAGAAAATTATGATCTGCAAGGACAAGTAAATTTTTATAAAAATTGTTTGTATAAAGAATTGATAGAAACAATAAGTTCTTTTTTTGATAAATTACTTGATGATTTATTTGATTATTTTTAAATATTAGTATTATACAGAATATATTAGGTAAAATTAAAAATTTTATTCCCCAACTATTTTTTAATATGTTATTTGAATATGGTATAGATTATATTCACCCCAAAAAATAGGTTTTTATAAAAAAATTTTTCAGAGAATTATTTTTACCTATAAGTTTTATTCTGATGTTTATTTTTAAACTACTAATTATTAGAACATTTAGTGATCTTTTTGTAGTATTTAGTATGATATTTATTTTTTTAATATATTATATTTATGTAACTTTTGGTCATTAATATTTAGTTTTAATCGTAAAAGAATATTAATTTATAATAAATTTTTTTTTGTTTTTTTTATAAAAATGGTCTTAAAAATTTTTTGTTAATTGTTATTTTTTTTTGATTTGTTCTTCGAACCTTTCTCTTAGTGAATATAATATATATATTTACCAATTTATTCAAAAAACTTATTATTACAAAATTAATTTTAGAGTTTTAAAAAAAACTCCAATTTTAAAATTAAAATTTACTTAGAAATTTTATTCGATATGGATTCAGATATTGAATCTATATATTCTCAAGAACTTGAGAATTTTAAATATTTTTAAATACAACTTTACATACCTGAAATTTACTTAGAAACTCTTGTTAGGAATATATCAAGACCTTTTTCTCGACATTAATTAAAGTTGTTATCTTAGTGGAATTGGAGTTCTTGGAGTTAGGTTTTAATAAAGAAAATAATCGAAGAACTTAGAAAACATTTTTATTTAAAAACAGTAGATTAGATTTTTAAATTCCTTAGTTAAATTTTAAATTACAACAAATTATTTTTAAAGTTTATTTTTTGTTTTTCTACATGGTCTAAATACTTGTTTAATAGTTTAGATAAGTAGTTAGTCTATATAGACAAACAAATTTTATATTTATTTTTAAATAATAATTTATTAATTTACAAAAAAATAATTTATAATAAATAA